CGGGAAGGCAGTCAAATGAACCTTTGAAGATAACTGCGCAGTTAGACAGCGCAGTATATTTCAGAAAATCATTTGACTGACTTCTCGATTGAATTTTTAGTTGAAATTTGGTATGGGTAAAGAAGACTTAATGAAGAAGATGCTCAAAAAAATGCATCAAAAAATTCCACCGAAAACCGCCCCAAATGATGACAGTCGAACAAAGCCTCATGTAAAAGGGCTTATTTACACTTTTTATGAAAGTTCGAGAGCTTATTTGATAGTTCTTCCAAAAAAACTCCATGTTCTGCCACGTGAGAGTTTAATTAAGAGACTTTTTAATTAATTGTTTTTAAAGTACGAGCTTTTAATTGACTTTTCTAATATAGTAGGGGGCTTATTTGAAAGTTTTCTCAAGAAGTTACTATAAATATTTGGTAAATAACTTTTTGATTTGACTGTTTGCTACAAAAAATCTAAAAATGAAAAAGCCACAATGAATAGTTTTTTCGTAACGCTTTTTGATATTATAAAAGTCTAATATACCCTATCATTTTAGCTCATTCGTTAATTATTTAATAATTATTATAGAACGAAATAAAATGAAAATAATTATGATAGTCTAATAACACTAATAATAAGTATGATCATTAATACATACAATTCCTATTTCTAAAATATAAAAATTAAAAATATGCAAAAAGTAATTATTTGCAATGCCCTTCTCAAAGTAAGGATGATTTTACTTGGACTGTTTTCAATTCTAGCTTAAAATCTAGACCAGACCAGATCACACTTAAATAGATCAGACAAGACCAGTTCAGATCGGATTAGACCTACCTTCTATAGTTATAAAATACAAAGAGACCAAACATTTACCAGATCAGATTAGTTCAGATCAGACCAGATTTAAACAAACCAGACCAGACCAGACCAACAAATTTCAGTCCAAGTAAAAACATTCTCAACGGGAAAAGTAATTTTCATAATCCAACTTTAGGCTATCCACAATGGGAGGGGTGAAAATCCCAAATTTGAGGGGTTTTCACCCCAAATTAGAATTTCAACGGAATAACAAAAACTAAATTCAAAAATAATTAAAAGTTACTACTTCAATCTCGTTCAATAGTTCTCATCGTGAAATGACACGATTTGAGAAATAATTTTGATGGTTACATACTACTTCCTCCGTTCTTTAGTATTTGAAACTTTATGTTTTTTGCACTATTCAAGCACCTTACTTTGATCATGTTTTTCTACTAATATATATGATCAAATTATTATGTATAAAATGTTATTGAATTTCGATTAATGTGAATTTCTAAAATATTAATCTTTTATAATGTTTACTAATACGTAATTAAATATAATTATAGTCAAAGTTGTACATCGACAAACGTGAAGGTCAAACTGTTGCAATTTTTAAAGAACAGATGATAATATAATGGGGTAATTGGTGATAATTTTGATGTTATAAATGTATTATTTTAATACTTGATGATTAAATTCCTATTTAAGAGTATTCATTGTTTTCCAAAAAAGAAAGTAAGAACCTTAGAGTGGGACGAATGAAGTACTAATAAAGTTATAAATCGGAAAATAAAATTAACACGTGATAATAATTACATAAAACCTTAAGTAATAAATATGTGACTAGTTTTTTTTGTTTACATAAATGTCAACTGTACAAATTTTGTTGTGTTTTTTTAAATCAAACAACAAATTTACTCAAATCAAAAAATAGCAAAGAAACAAGTAAATATATAGTCTGACTACAACATGATGAGACTTTGAACGGAAAAGACCCATGAATTTTTTCAGAGCGCTAACCCCGCAATAATGCAGTCTAATCTAACAGTCTTGTTGAATTTGTCACTCCAAATAAAAAATAAAAACTTACAAATAAAAATTTGACTTCATCAACCACCGAAAAGTGAGAATTAATTTAACTAGCAACCAACAAAAGAAACTCTATCGAGCCGAAATTGTCTGAATCATCGGTTTGACGAGCCACCGAAAAAGAGATCCAGTTGAGCGCTTTCATTCTCTCGGAGCAAGGCGGTGGTTCAGGTGGAGGTCAAATAACTGAAGTCTCAGAATAACATAGTTGAAAAAGTTTGTCAACCATGAGAAATCCACAGATCGTTAAAAAAAATATCGCACGGTCACATGAAACTGATAAAACTATCAGTCAAGTTCAATCAAAACCCTAGGTTAAAGAAGATGTCGGACCAAAACATTAAGACGGAAAGCATAGAAGTCGCGTGCACGCATTGAGAAACTTCCCAAGGGGTCACCCATCCTAAGACTACTCCCGTGCAAGCACGCTTAACTTTGAAATTCTTGACTAATGAGCTCCCTAAAAAGGAGATGCACCTTGTTGGTATGACTAGTACTATTAATCCATTTAAATTAAATCTCAAGTGTTACAATCACCCCCGCTTAGGAACGCAACGTCCTCGTTGCGCCCGTAAACCAATCTCAATCAAACCCCAGAATCTTGCCCCGCTAAGTGCCCGCCCAATATCCAATGGGTCAACACACTGTCACAGGGTTGCTCTGATACCATTTGTAACACCCCGACCCTGTAGGCCCCGAGGTAGTTACTTCTGACCTCTAGTACTGTCCTCACAAACCGCCACTAGCCTTTTCCATGCACTTTGTCTTCACTCGTGCGCGCCCTGAGAAACTTCCCAGGGGGTCACCCATCCCAAGACTACTCCCGTGCAAGCACGCTTAACTTTGGAGTTTTTGGCTAATGAGCTCCCTAAAAAGGAGATGCACCTTGTTGGTATGAGTAGTACTATTAATCCGTTTAAATTAAAACTCAAGTATTACAAGATTTACCAATTGATTTTTTTGGGAAAAGTACGGAAAAAGTACTTGTGGTTGGACCCACTTTCAGATGGGGTCACGTGTTTCATTCTTTATCAAAGTGGTTCATGTGTTTGAATTCCGTTATCACAAGAGGGGTCACGCCATTAAAAACGTCTGAAAAAGACCTTCAAAAGTAACTCCGATTTTCAAAAGTGCTCAGAAAATTAAAAGAAAAATATCGAAAGGTGCGCCTCGTCAAGATGACCTCCAAACCACCTTCGCCTTTGGATTTTCAGATCTGTTTGAATTGTTTTTTTAAATGATTTTGCTAATATCACTTTTCTGGTGGACTTTCCGGTGACAAGGGTGACTGATAACAAAAAAGAAAGATGGCCTAGCGGTCGTCTTATTGAGACGCACCTTCCGGTATTTTTCTTTTAATTTTCCGGGTGCTTTTGAAAATCGGAGTTACTTTTAACGGTCTTTTTCAGACGTTTTTACGGCGTGACCCTCTTGTGATAACGGAATTCAAACACATGAACCACTTTGATAAAGACTGAAACACATGACCCTATGTGAAAATGGGCCCAACCACAAGCACCTTTTCCGTACTTTCCCCTTGATTTTTTCTAGAACTCTGTTCTTTAAGCTATGGAGCATTATGGCTTGTTTGGATTGAGTGTTAGGAAGTGTTAGTAAGTGTTGATACTAACATTTGTTTGGGAGAAAAATTAAAAGGTTTTTAGAAGTGTTAGTAAAGGTTAGGAAGTGTTAATAATAACCTTCCCAACACCTCAATTGTCCACTTTTTTAACATTCCGATTGTTTTGAGGTGTTGGACAATTATTACCCTTCTCATTTACCCAAAAAAACATAAAATGCTTCGACATCTCGCTTCGAATCTCTTTGCCGCAGTTCTGATGGTCTGCCTTTTTCATCTCTTCTCCTTACTCGTTTCTTCTGGCTCAAGGTAAAAATTATTAACACTTCCATTATTAACAATTCATTCATTTGACTCTCCCAAACAAGGTAAAATTATGTCTAACACTTAGGACATGTTGACTTCACGGGTTAGTAAACGGTGCTTATTAAGACTCACGTTAATAAGCGGTGCATAAAATAAGCAGTGTTGTAAGCTCATGTTTACTTCAAAGGAATTAAAACACCGTTTAAAATTAAAATGTCCAAAATAACCATATAGATATATACACACACAAACATTCATGAACACAAGTATATAATATAATATGTGGAGTCACCTCGTACGCTAAGTCACTTACCCACACCCCTAACCCCTACCCGCCCTGTACCCCCACCCCTCACCCTACCCCCAATTCCACACCCTTGACCCCCACCCCTTCCCTACCCCGTACCCTTACCACAACCTTACCCTCCACCCCTACTCCCACCCATACCAACCCCCAACTCGTAGGGGTAGGGGTAAGGTGGGGTGGGGTATGGTCGGGTCAAGGGTGGGGGTGGGGATAGAGGTGGGTCGAGGTAGGGGCAGGGGGTAGGGGTGGGGTCGGGGTCAGGGTCGGGTCAAGGTAGGGGAAGGTGGTAGGGGTAAAGGGGTAGGGTAAGGGTTGAGGGGTGGGGGTGGGGTAAGGCAGGTGGTGGAGGGTAGGGGTAAGGTGGGGTGGGGTATGGTTGGGTCAAGGGTGGGGGTGGGGGTGGGTCGAGGTAGGGGTATGAGGTATTTACAGGGGTAGGGTCGGGGTAGGGAAAGGGGGCGGGGGTAGGGGTGGGGTCGGGGTCGGGTCAAGGTAGGGGAAGGGGTAGGGTGGGGTAGGTCAGGTGGTGGAGGGTAGGGGGTAGGGGTAAGGTGGGGTATGGTCGGGTCAAGGATGAGGGTCAGAGTGGGGTCGGGGTAAGGTAGGGTAGGGCGGGGTAGTTGGGTAGCAATAGGGTAAGGGCAAGGGGTAAAGGTAAGGGTAAATTCGGAAACTGAAAAAACTTAAAGTGCCGCTTAATTAATAAATGGGATGGTATGCTTAGTAAGCAGCATTTTAAGCATCTTTTTCAGTTAGTAAGCAACGTTTTAAGTAACTTGCGTGTTTACTTCACCTGTCTTACTTACCTATCTGTGACTTCAGCGACGTAAACGCTTCCTTACACTTCCTTTCTCTTTTGAGTCCTTAGTGACACTTCCATTAGTAACACTTTCAAACACTCCGTCCAATCATGATACACCTTGTTAGAAAAACTTTTACCCTTTGTCTTTTTCCCACGGTATACTCGTATACTTCGACTGCGACTGCTGCACAAACCTCACCCTTAGTGCAGACGTGCAGTACTTTTTGTCGACCAAAACAGAAAAGAGACTCCACTCCCGTTGCTCCATACCCTTTCTGAACTTCTTCTTACATTCCTGAGTTACAGTTTCCGGATTTTGATGTTGAAACCCTTAGAGGAGCACGATTACATCGGCTTATCAGAGGCTCCCTCAATGGAGCACTCGGAAAAGACTCGCATTTCATCAGTGGGAAGTGAGAGCAAAGACAAAGATTTGAACTTGAAGGCTACTGAGCTTAGATTGGGCTTGCCCGGTTCTGAGTCCCCAGATAGGTCAACGGAATGGGGTTTGAGGTGTTTGACCTCTGGTGCCAAAAGGGGGTTCTCAGACGCCGCACATGGTTGTTCTGGGAAGTGGGGTTTCTCTGGATCTGAGGTTGAAATGAAGAAAAGCGGTTTCAATGGCGGTGAGAGCAGCAACCAGCAGACTCAAGTTGCTTCAGATGATGTCAAAGAAGAGAGGAAGCCTTTCATTGCTCCTGCTGCAAAGTAATTTTATGATTCTTCCTATATTCTGCTGTTGTTATGTTTCTTTGGTTTGATCATTCTCAAAAATCAAATTTTTATGATGCTTTTGACATAACCTCATAAACATTATTGTGTTTGTCAATTTATCAGCTGTTATTTTTGGTCATTTATATGGTCTAACCCAGTAACCCCTTTAAGTAATCTGTGGAACATGATAAAGTATTCATATTACCCCCATAGAAAGCAAAAAACTATTTGATAGGATATTAATTAGGAAAAAAATCACCTTTGAAGACCAAGTAACTGACGAAGGAAATTTATGCTATTTCTGAAGTAAGTTTTTAGGAAATTTACTAGGTATTATTTATTTTTAAAATCCTATTTATCAAGAATCTCTTAGATAGCTAAAACAGCCCTCACAAATTATACTACGACTCTTTCATCACTTGATGTGTTAATTTACCTACCAAAACATCACTGGCTCTACCCAAAATAGTTCATCATCATCATTATCTACCCCTTAATCTCATCTAATTGGAGTCGGTGGGATAGAAATTTATAGTGCCTGTTAGTTGTACGTACTACTTCCTTCTCACAACGATTTGCCATATTTAACTTTTTGCCAATGGAGAACATTTTGAATATTGCTTTCATGTTATAAATTGTTTTGTAAAAAATATATTATTGGTCAATGTTTAATATCATTGACCAAAAAGTAAATGTGGAAACCCAATCTTAGTGATACTGAGGTATTATAAACTAGAGAATATTACCTGAAATAGGACTAGTTTGAAAATTCAAAAATAGGACTGCCGACTGCCATGTTTTTATTCCCAAAATAGGACTACTTACTATCATGTTTTGGCAGTACCAGACTTCAAACATGGCAGTATTTTCTAAAAATGGCAGTAATTAGTCCTATTTTGGGAATAAAAAACATGACAGTTCTATTTTGGAATTTTCAAACTGTTTTAGTCCTATTTTGGGAATTTTCCCTATAAACTATTACAGTGAGTTAACACTAAACTCCCACAAAAAGGCACAGTGATCGTGTTTAATGGAGGATAATGAGATTGAAGTTGTATGCATGTTCTTGTGATGTGGAACAGGTCCCAGGTGGTAGGATGGCCCCCAATTCGATCTTTTCGAAAGAATTCATTGAATGCTAATCCTCCCAAGAAGGAAGAAAAAGAAGACTTCAACGGAAAGTCGGGATCAAGTTGTCTCTATGTCAAAGTCAGCATGGATGGTGCCCCTTACTTGAGGAAAGTTGACCTCAAGAATTTCAGAAGCTATAAGGATCTGTCTATGGCTCTGAAGAACATGTTTAGCTTCTTTACAGTTGGTAAGTGGTAAACATTTTGTCAAAGTTTCTTGTACTTTCTTTATATGGAGTGATGTATAATTTAATATTACCACTGGTTAATGCAGAATATGTGCTTACCTTCGAGGACAAGGATGGTGATTGGATGCTCGTTGGTGATCTCCCATGGGAGTGAGTTTTGAATTTTTTACTATTTTTTGTTGAATGGCCCCAGACATATTCATATATTCTCACGTAGTAGTTTTCTTGAAGTTTTCAAACTCATAACACTTATGACCAACTGATCTTTAGCCAATAGTTTCCTCATTGGGTAGCAAGCTTTACTTCCTATCGTATAATGTTACATATGATATGCTTGGTGATTGCAGAATGTTTGTAGATGCCTGCAAGCGCCTAAGGATAATGAAAAGTTCAGATACAATTGATCTTGGTAAGTTCTGATGGGGCCTGTGGGCATTTATGTTGCATCACCTGCTTTAAGTTCTACGAATTTTCTGATCCTGTTCACTATTATTCTTTGTAGAAGGATGTTAGATTTAGTCCTATATTTAAAAACATCCTTAAAGAGAGAAGCATATAGAGAATTGGTGTTTGTACCCCCACGAATAGAAAAACAACGAGGTGCATAGTGCATACTCCAATTCAAAGAAAAAATAGGGCGTATTTTACAATTTTCGAGTTGCAAACTCATTTTGAATTATAAAGTGGGGTGCAAACTTCCACCAAGAGAACATTAATTGTAATTGTAATATCTTTGAAGCAGTTTTTTGGAATTCACTTTCATCCTTTTATCCCCCCCCCCCCCCCCCCCCCCTGCAAATCTCCATTCATCCACGGGAAGGAGAAGAGTAGGAGTAAGCGAGAGATGAGTGATGGAAATCGTATTGGAGGGGAAAGTAAAGGAAGTAAATGGGAGGGGAAGCCAATGGCTCTGCCACTTTTATCATGATAAACTAGACTTGTAATATGCTTCTTCTAATCAATAATCATTGTAGCTCAACAGGTGATGCAGAAGTGCATAAAGCGGTAGGCATGTCTCTCGCGTCACGTGGATCTATATTTTCTCCACACGACTGTACGGCCACAGAACAGTGTCTCTGCCTGACAGAAGCTTGACGTGTGCATTTGCACATGAAGCTAATCAGCTAGTAGTGTAGTAAATTAAAAACTAGTGTTCACAATTATTCCTAGCTTGTTAGTAGTCTAGGTAAGCTAATTATTCCTAGCTTGTTGATCTTGTGATATGCCTTTAACTTCCATCTCAATTTGCTAAGCAAATACTCCATTATTAGTATGAAGCATTATTTTTCATTGTAAATCAGTTATGCCTTGTTATGTACCCCTCTCTCTTTGGTCTTAAAATTAAGAAGCATAGAAGTGGTATAACACATGTCAAGATGGGATCCTAAGATCCTTTGTAGTAACTTCACCATGGTGTTATTACCATGATGGTACATTCAGAACGATTGACAGTAACTTTACTCATCTGTCTCTGAAATCAATCGGCACGCCAACTCGCCAAGTGTGACCAGATGATCTATATCTGTGATGTAAGGGTGTTACTACTCCTACACCCAATTACTTCAAGATGACAAGTGTGCCAGGGGCGTAACTCAGTTGGTGGGAAAATAGTCTCACAAGAGAGAGGTTTGGAGTTCAATTTCTGATAAGGACCTTGAGTTGGAACCTCATTTTCTCTACACCAGTTTGTGATCAAAACTCAAATTATATTCTCTTAGATATAGCTTGTTATGTAAATGTCACTTTTTTAAACAAAAATACTACATAGTATTATTAATCTCAAGTATTCCATGTATTTCACAATTAATATTTAATAATAAGATTAATCATTGTGCTATCAAAACAGAGTTTCACCTTATTAGGCTGGACCTGAAAAAGTTCTGGTCTGATTTCGGTTCTGGCCTTCTGGGACTGGCCGGTTCTCTTTCCCTAATTTCTAGAATTGAAACCAAAACTTTAGATAGCATTTTGGTCTACGACTCTACTTGACCAATTCATATCCGGTTCTCAACGGTCCTGTTCAATCTTTTTGTTTTTATATGTTATAATAACAGTATTATTGATGGACTCGGGCCGGGTCGGGCCCGGTCGGGCCGCCGGGTTGTATGACATGGGCCCGGGACCGGCCTGAGGGTTGGACGGGTCCGGTTCGGGCCGGGCCACCCGCTCGGGTCACGGGTCGGGTCCGGTTCGGGCCGTGCTGGTTAATTTTTTTTTTTATAATTTATATTTTATAGTTTATAGTTTTATACGAGTATTAAAAACAAACTTCAATTGCATTTATTTGAAATAAAATAGGAACTACATTTGAAAATTAAAACAAACTTTAAGAGATAAACATTTTGAAAATTGTAATCAATCGGAACTTCCCGCACCTCCCGATCCTTTGGCTTCACATGACTTCATATGCTTGATTGCCATCCCGAATCCGCCTGAAACCCCCATGCTACATTTTTTCTCGCACCATTTGCAAATTGCGTACCACATCCCGGTCTTCGGGTCCTTCTGCTTATCAAAATTATACCGTATAATGGCATCTTGATTTTCCATCTTAACTTCTTAAGTATAAACTATAAAGTAGATATATAAATAATAAATATAATATATTAGAGAATAAGAGAATTAGAGAGTAGAGAGTTAAGAATAGGATTTAGGAAGAATTGGAGAAGAGATATGAAAAAATGTTTAAAATTAGGAGTATTTATAGGTTTTTTTACCCCCCACCCCCCACCCCCCCACCACCCCCACCACCCCCCAACCCCCCGGACCCTCCCTTTACCCCACCCAACGGCTATATAGCCGTTTGGGTTGTCCCCAGTCCCACCCCCAACGGCTAGTAGCCCAAGAGCCCAAACAATTTTTTTTATTTAAAATAAGACCGGACCCGGGGTCGGGTCACATTAATCCAGCACCGAGCCCGCCCCGCCCATTCCCACCGGTTCGGGTCCATACCCGGTCCTGGACCGCCCGACCGGGCCGGGCCGGGTCACGGGCCGGGTGGCCCGAACCGAATCCACCCCTAAACAGTATACTGCAACTAATATACATACTCCATGATTTTTACTTCAGAGTTCAGATAGTGTTTACGGAGTGTTATTACAATATGTAATATTCCAATTGTATTAGTACATTTACATAATATTAAACTATTATAATATTATATAATATATAACCATAATTTTCTTCAGTTTATATATCGTGGGAGCAGCCCACGGTAGGGATGGACTCGGGTCCGGGCCGGGTCCGGGTCGGGCCTAGGCCCGGGCGGTCCGGCGGTTCAAGAATAGTGGACCCGGGACCGGCCCGGGTAGCCACCGGGTCCGGTCCGGGTCCGGACCGGGCCGGGCCTCCGGTTTGTTTTTTTTTTTTTTTTGCTTTCCTAACCCCCCCCCCCCCCTCACCCCCACCCTCCCAAACCCCCCCAAACTCATCCTACCCATCAAGCCCAACCCGAGTGGAACCCCAAAAATGAAAAAAAAATGAAAAAAATTCAATTTGGCCCGGGCCCAGGCCCGACCCGCCCGGGCCGGTTCACCAAAATTTGGCCCGACCCGAGTCCAACCATAGCCCACGGTGAGGATCGTGCTCCCAGAGGTGTCACTTGACTTAATAATTAAACAAAAAACGCGGATGAACAGTAATTGTTGATTTTTTTTTTCAATTATTTTCATGATGTGAATCCCTTGTAATGAAATGTAAACTCGCGTTGTTACAAATGTAACTTTAGTTAGTGACACATGTAACTTACGCTTTGAACTGTAACCCATGTTACTCCCTCTAGTAGTTCTATCACTTTTCATATGTGAAATGTAAACCGCGTGTTATAAAATGTAACTTTTAGCAAATCGAAATGTAACTCAAGGATATGTAAAATGTAACTTGAGAAAATTTAGAAAATGTAAATTGTGTTAATTGAAATGTAACATGAGTTAAATAAAAAATGTAAATCGGGTTAATTGAAATGTAAGTTGAACTAAATCAAAATGTAATTTGCTTTAATAGATATGTAACTTGAGCCCAAATCAAAATATAATATGTCTACTATACATACATAGATATAATAAATACAATCGTATATGAATTCGATATGAATCGTATATGAATCCGACCCTCCCATACCCCTAGGCATGGACCGGTTCCGGTTCGGGCCCGGTTCAGGCCTGGGCCCGACCGGGCCTCGGTTCAAGAAGGGGAGGCCCGGAACCGGCCCGGGTAACCCTCGGATCCGGGGCTCGTTTTTTTTTTTGGCTTTTCCTAGTTAACCCCCAACCCTCCCCTCACTCCCAAACCAACCCTAACCACCTGGAAAACTTTAGATGCCTGAGATTAATCCATCGAATTCATCATCATCATTTTCTAGGAAAAGCCAATTTCAAGGTGAACAACCAACGATTTCAATATGGGATTGAACAATCAAGGTCGTGGTCGGAACTCAGTGATGTATCTGATTTTTCAGGAGTAACGCGGCCTAACTACTATTCCGGTGCGGCGTTCCCAGATGCAGAGCAATTACAGAGGGTGGAAACCTACTGTTTCGATGCATAGCAGAAGCGTAACAGGCGTTGCAATTCCAGATGCGCAACAAGGTCGAAGATTGAAGAAAATCATCGAGACATAGCAATTCCAGATGCATAGCAACGCAGAGCAATTTTCTCCTCGAGATTCACTGCTGCGGGACTCTGCACAAGATGATTTGCGATTGGCATGGTGTTTGCGCTTTCTTTTAATAGAAAACTGTACCGTTTCGTGATCGGTATACTGTGCTCACGGTGCACCGATCCCACGGTATAATTTGCCAATTTTCTTCTCTATACGATATATACTTCGTACTCCCTCCGTCTCGAATTGAATTGCAAACTTTGACCGGTATAAAGATTAAGGAATGACAATAAATGATGCTTGTTTTTTACACTTTTGTTCATCTTTCTAAAAGTAGATGCCTTTAAGTTAATGGGAAAAAAGTAAAAGTAAAGGTAAATTTGTCACTTTATTCTAATTTACATACCTAAAATAGAAAGTGGAAAATCATTTTGGGAGAATCAAAATAGGAAATTTTGAAAATCAAATTGGAACTAGTAATAAAAGTAAAAATTGAACAGGAATTATACCCTCTTTCGAGGAACTATACCCTTTTTGGAGGGTGTCGTTACCGACTTTCTTTGAAAAAGTACCCTCACGACTCTTGTCTAGTCCTTGATTTTAGCAATAATTCTCAATGTCACATTAATCTCAACATATACATTTGTGTGTGGGGTAGAACCGTAGAATCAGATCAAATTCGAAGATTGCTTATATTGTAATGAAGTAGAAATGTAGAATAAACGATTTAAGATCTAATGGTTCTAAAAGTACAAAAAATGCTTTACACGGATGAATGGCGCAATGACAAATTTATACATAGTAATTAAGTAATTAATTGAGTTTTTTGTCATCGCATAAAAGTACATTATTACACATAAGAATGCATGATAGAGAATCAAAAGTAAAAAAATGACTTTTCTGAGGTTAAACACCATTGTCATTCGATATGTGCTTAACGTGAGAAATAAAAACTTTTCACTTTTAATTCTTTACTCTCATGCTTAACCACTGCACTTTTGCACGATAGCAGAATTTCTGGGGTTAGGGGGGTGGGGGTGGGGGGTGGGAGTGGGGTACAAAAAATCTATAAATACTCCATTTTTTCTATACAATTTACTACACATCTTCTCCAAATATTCCTACTCTCTAATCTCTATTCTCTACTAATCTTCTCCATCTTCATCTTCTCAAATTTATAACTACATATATTATATTATATTTACATATATAATCATCTCTAATTTATTTACTTATATTTACATTTTAGATATACTTATATATATTAAAGTATTATATATAAGTGTATTACTAAACTTATAGTAATATACTTATACTATATATACTATAAACATAATATTATATATTACTAGTTAATCTACTTATTATCTACTTATATATATATATATATATATATATAAATATATATATATATATATATATATATATATATATATATATATATATATATATAAAGTATATCTACTTATACACTTATTATCTAATTGTTACATTTATTAATTTCCTATCATAGTAGTTAATTGTTACATTTATTAATCTCTTATCATAGTAGTTAGTTGTTACATTTATTAATCTCTATAAAAACTAGTTAATTGTTAAACTTGTTTTATAAAGTTGTTAGATTGTAAAACAAATAGTTCGAATTTTGTTAATTCGAAATTAATTATTTAATTGTTAAATTAGTTAATTGTTACATTTATTAATCTCTTATCATA